ATATTGGCAATGCACATAGTATGTGGACTGATGAGTAATAATATAAGGAGCAAAACGATTTATGAGTCGTGGTCTGATAGGGAGCGAGACGAGACTAATTTGAGGGACAAAAATACTGTCGTTTCTATTTTGACACACTCAACATAAACGTTTTATAAACAGTCAGATGAGATAATTTGTTAACAAAAATGTATACTTAATCACTCAATTAATTTTGTGACATCCCTTATTTGCATTGGCTTCCCAACTTCAAAATTGAGTTATTAGTTAATTACTAATAGTCTACTACTAAGATCATTTTCTTTAATCTCTTAATCCTCTTGTAAACTTATAAATCTACATTTAATATCAACTTAATTTGCATCCAGCCCTGTTTTTCCATACACAGCCTCAATTTTCAACCAGCCTAAACTCTGTTGTAAAGCCTCGATCAATGTTTACACAAGTATGGAGTAACACTATATTGCGTCATACTTGTGGGCTAAGCCTAGCAGCACACAATTCTTGTGTCTTGGAGAAAATAACCATATGATCCGACCCAAAAATAATATTCACCTCATCAGGTGGGTTGTTCCCAATCATCCACTCCTGATAAGGCCTCTTCAGTATATTATCTTCGTCCTGGAGATCCTGTTTCGATTGCTAGTAAAATCAACCTTTCTTGTAAATAGTAATTTTTCGATAATATTAATAATAATAATAATGAGAAATTATATATTTGTGTTAACCTCAGGGGGTGAAAGTTAGTGAAAGCAGGAGGCCATGAGCCTGGGGCTGAGAAATTACATGTGTGTATTTACCCGACACATTCTTTGTTTTAGCCTAGGATATTTCACCATGAGAGTATTTGTTAGGCAAATTGAAACTTGAAGAGGAAAGATATATCATATATGTAGCTTACAGTAATCGGAAGTCTCAATCCATAAGGACAAAGAGTCAAAAGCCTAAAAAGAAAGTATAAACAGCAGGTACGCAACGCAAATAAGGGTCAACGGTGGTAGAAAAATTAAAATCTTAATCTTGAGTGACTGGAATGACAAAACCAGTAAACCACAAAGTACAAGGCTTCATTTCCAAATACAATTGGTCGTAACACATTTCAAAAACGAGATCCTTTCAAGTGCGCATATGCACACATGTATGCATTACATGCGCAATCAAGACAAATCTAGAGAACATGAACTCATATGCATCAGCAGCTAAAAATATTCGTTGAAAAAGTAACTATACTAGAAATTCCAGAAAATGAGAAACCCGGGGTACGAAATTCAAAATACCTAGTGAACATGGCTTGTGGGTGAAATTTCATTTCAGATGCCTGCGAGTAACGTACACAAAATGACATTTCAGATGCATGTCTGCTGACTATCTACGCCCAGTGCGGCTTTTCGCTCTTGCTTTCTGCAGTAAATGAAAGAATGGGGAGTCAGCCATGTTAGAAAATCTCTTGAGCAAGCCAAACGAAAGAACCACTATTCTGATTTAATTTCAGATTGTTAAACATATGATTTTCGATATATTCTCATCAAAGAG